AACTCTCGAGGTTCATGCTGGCACACAAATACCTGGCAGCCGTGAAATGAACGACTGCGGCTGAGCCGTCGGCAGGGTCGACCAGAAGGGACTCCCAGTCGACGCGCTGCATGTCGGAGTCCGTTTGAGCCACATGTATTGACGGACCCCTGCCTCTCCCGTCGCCTTGGGGGCATTCGCGTCGGAAATGTAGTGCACTGTGGCATATGCCGCACTCCGAAATTTTACCGTTGGCATCCTTCGGGTTCCCTCGTCGCCCTTTACGTTTGCCTGGCGCATGCCTACGGTTCCTGCCAGCACCTAAAAACATTTCTTCGTACTGGGGCCCAGTGAGAGATGCTAGGGATGCTAGTATGCCTCTACCGTTTAGTCGCCGGCGCTTACCTTTGCCTTTACTTCGACCCTTGCCTTTTTCCTTTGAGTGCCTGCCGTACCATGCGTCTTACCCTTCTGACTGATGTCTTCATGAATATCCCAAACACAAGCACTGAACTTGCTGCTCTTCAGTAAGGTCTGTAGGCATATCAGAGTAGTCCAGCGCGGTAGTTTAATCATCAAAAGACGCATCGGCATCGGCACCTGAGTCGAAGTCGGACTCGGCGGGTTGCCCCGCAGAGCCCATTAGGGTCATAGCTTGCACAGGGGAGACCGCGTCGGGTGGCCACCTAGATCTGGGTCTTGAGACCCCGAGGCAGTACCGCCATTCTGGGCCAACAATGTAGTGGTCTCAGACGGCGGCATATCATCGTTCCAGACGTTGTTAGCAGGTTGCCCTGCATTGGCCTCTGTATGGAAGGTCTCGGTTCGGTGACCGTGACTTAAAATACCACCGATATTGCCAGGCGTTCTCTCAGCTATGTAAGCATGCCTCATACGTTTGAGGAGAGCATCAAATTGTGCTTGGTCCCTCGGCATATGGTGGTTCAGAGGCTGCAGGAGCTGCTGTGCCCGCGACGTCCCCACTCCCAGAGCTCTGAATCATACTAATGTGAATATCTGGAAGTTGGGGATGTTGAAGCCGGCGGCTTTTGCTTCGTAGCGGGCTATCTCGAACCGTGCTAACGCCCGGTCGATTCTTTCTCCCGCATGGACACGAAAGTCAATGAGAGCCGCGCCAGAGTTGAATTGGCGTTCCTCTTCTAGGTTCTCGAACCTCGTACTTAAGAGGAACATAATGTAGGTGACGCCGACGGTGTGGAGACCACCTATGTTGACACCAAAGCTGATGACTGCTGGGGGAACTCTCATGGCTATGGGCCGTGCGAGCCCGCCAAGACCGCGCTGGAGCGCGGCGGCCTGTTGGGAGGGCGTCATGTTGCCTGTGGTCACGTTGATCCAGGTGTGTACCTCGCGGACAAACTCGCGAAATGGCACTTGACCGGCAGGATCCCAATGGGGGCCGGTCGTCCTAGTGTCGTCTCCGCCCCGCATATGTCCCACCGCACATCCAAGAGCGACCCATACGAGCCCAAAGATAGAGCAACTCCAATCCAATGGCCTCGTAGGTTGTAGTCGGGTGTAGTCGGTGGAGACTCGTGTTTTGTCGTCGTAAGTCTGCGAGGGGTCGGAGGCGGCAGTATATCGTATCGCATGTTTCCATGCATTATATCTTCGAAGAAATTTCCAATTGGAGTAGGTGGGTGGACTTCAGGAGTGTAATAGCGCAGGGATGTAGAATATGAGTGAGTAAGAGACCTCCGCTGGAGCAGAGGTGTCGCTGCAAGTTTCCTTGCGGTATTGCGTATCTATCTACACTCCTCCACGCAATGCCAGTGCACCCTGATGTTCCACCGTAGCTGTAGTCCACCACATAGTGCCGTGGATGGTGAGGATTAGAGCTAGAGCTGACCACTATAGGCCAGCTCCGCTACCAAATTTGAAGGGGCTGGGAGGCCCCGCCAACAGCTTCGCCTCAGGCGAAACCAAACTCCAGCTCGGATGTAACGATAGTCCCAATGCAGGAGGGGATGCCATGTCAAGTGAGAGAGTGCTTGGTTTTCCCGGCGAGTCGTACTAGTACGCCGAAGTACGCCTACTAGTACGCCCCGGCGGGTCGTACTAGTACGCCGAAGTACGCCTACTAGTACGACCCGCTGCGGTCGGGAGGCGTACTCGTAGGGCCGAAGTACGTCTACTAGTACGACCCGGCGGGTCGTACTAGTACGGCTAAGTACGCCTACTAGTACGACCCGCTGCGGTCGGGAGGCGTACTCGTAGGGCCGAAGTACGCCTACTAGTACGCCCCGGCGGGTCGTACTACTACGGCTAAGTACGCCTACTAGTATGACCCGCTGCGGTCGGGAGGCGTACTCGTAGGGCCGAAGTACGCCTACTAGTACGCCCCAGCGGGTCGTACTACTACGGCTAAGTACGCCTCCTAGTACGACCCGCTGCGGTCGGGAGGCGTACTCGTAGGGCCGAAGTACGCCTACTAGTACGACCCGGCGGGTCGTACTAGTACGGCTAAGTACGCCTACTAGTACGACCCGCTGCGGTCGGGAGGCGTACTCGTAGGGCCGAAGTACGCCTACTAGTACGACTCCGCGGGTCGTACTAGTACGGCTAAGTACGCCTACTAGTACGACCCGCTGCGGTCGGGAGGCGTACTCGTAGGGCCGAAGTACGCCTACTAGTACGACGTACTAGTACGGCTAAGTACGCCTACTAGTACTACGTACGGCTGCGGTACGACCCGCTGCGGTCGGGAGGCGAACCCGTAGGGCCGAAGTACGCCTACTAGTACGACTCCGCGGGTCGTACTAGTACGGCTAAGTACGCCTACTAGTACGACCCGCGGCGGTCGGGAGGCGAACCCGTAGGGCCGAAGTACGCCTACTAGTACGACTCCGCGGGTCGTACTAGTACGGCTAAGTACGCCTACTAGTACGACCCGCGGCGCTCGGGAGGCGAACCCGTAGGGCCAAAGTACGCCTACTAGTACGACTCCGCGGGTTGTACTAGTACGGCTAAGCAGGCCAAAGTAGCCCTACCAGTACGCCCCCGCCAACCCCCCGGGGCCGTACTAGTAGGCCAAAGTAGCCCTTCTAGTAGCCCTCGCCGGGGCGGAATTTCGAGGATGTCTCGAGCGGGGGGCCTCCCCCCCGGACGTACTAGTAGGCCAAAGTAGCCCTACTAGTACCCCGCCGCCAGCCCCTCGAGACCGTACTAGTAGACCAAAGTAGCCCTACTAGTAGCCACGGCGGGGCGGACTTTCGAGGAAGTCTCGAGCGGAGGCCCTCTCCGCCGATCGAACTAGTACGCCAAAGTAGCCCTACTAGTACGCCCCCGCCAGGCCCCCGGGGACCCGTACTAGTAGGGCTACTTCGTGCCTACGCCTCGCCGGAGCGGACATTCAAGGATGTCTCGAGCGGGAGCCCTCTCCGCCGGTCGTACTTGTAGACCAAAGTAGCCCTACTAGTACGCCTCCGCCAGCCCTCCGGTGCCCGTACTAGTAGGCGAAAATAGCCCTACTAGTAGGCCCGCCGGGACGGACTTTCGAGCATGTCTCGAGCGGGGGGCCTCTCCGCCGGTCGTACTAATAACCAAAAGTAGCCCTATTAGTACGCCCCCGCCAGCCAGTCGTACTAGTAGGCCAAAGTAGCCCTACTAGTAAGCCCCCGGCAGCCCCCCGGGGCCCGTACTAGTAGGCTCAAGTAGCCCTACTAGTAGCCCCGGCGGGGCGGACATTCGAGGATGTCTCGAGCGGTGGGCCTCTCCGCCGGTCGTACTAGTAGGCCAAACTAGCCCTACTAGTACGCCCCCGCCAACCCCGGGGCCGTACTACTAGGCCAAAGTAGCTCTAGTAGTAGCCCCGGCGGGGCGGACATTCGAGGATGTCTCGAGCGGGGAGCCTCTCCGCCGGTCGTACTAGTAGGCCAAAGTAGCCCTACTAGTACGCCCCCGCCAGCCCCCCGGGGCCGTACTAGTAGGCCAAAGTAACCCTACTAGTAGCCCTGCCGGGGCGGAATTTCGAGGATGTCTCGAGCGGGGCGCCTCTCCGCCGGTCGTACTGGTAAGCCAAAGTAGCCCTACTAGTACGCCCCCGCCGGCCCCCCGGAGCCGTACTAGTAGGCCAAAGTAGCCCTACTAGTAGCCCCGGCGGGGCGGACATTCGAGGATGTCTCGAGCGGGGGGCCTCTCCGCCGGTCGTACTAGTAGGCCAAAATAGCCCTACTAGTACGCCCCCGCCAGGCCCCCGGGGACCCGTACTAGTAGGCCAAAGTAGCCCTACTAGTAGCCCCGGCGGGGCGGACATTCGAGGATGTCTCGAGCGGGGGGCCTCTCCGCCGTTCGTACTAGTAGGCCAAAGTAGCCCTACTAGTACGCCCCCGCCAGCCCCCAGGGGCCCGTACTAGTAGGGCTACTTCGACCCTACTAGTAGCCCCGCCGGGGCGGACTTTCGAGCATGTCTCGAGCGGGGGCCCCCTCCGCCGGTCGCACTACTAGGCCAAAGTAGCCCTACTAGTACGCCCCCGCCAGCTCTCCTGGGCCGTACGAGTACGCCAGAGTAGCTCTACTAGTAGCCCCGCCGGGGCGGACCTTCGAGGATGTCTCGAGCGGCGGGCCTCTCCGCCGGTCGTACTAGTAGGCCAAAGTAACCCTACTAGTACGCCCCCGCCAGCCCCCCGGGGCCCGTACTAGTAGGGCTACTTCGTCCCTACTAGTAGCCCCGGCGGGGCGGACTTTCGAGCATGTCTCGAGCGGGGGGCCCCTCCGCCGGTCGTACTAGTAGGTCAAAGTAGCCCTACTAGTACGCCCCCGCCAGCTCTCCTGGGCCGTACGAGTACGCCAGAGTAGCCCTACTAGTGGCCACGCCGGAACGGGTTTCCGAGAATGTTTCGAGTGGGATTCCCTTCCGCCGACCGTACTAGTAGTAGGCTCAAGTGGCTCTACTAGAATACTCCGGCCTAAACCCTCCTACCCATTCCCTCTGCTCCCTCCTCCCTCTCTCTCTGTCTCTCTCTCTCTCTCTGTCTCTCTCTCTCTCTCTGTGCGTATTCCTCAGAACCATCTCTATCGGGGAGCTCATACTGGAACCAGCAACCCCGCCATAACATAAACATGTTGCTGGGAAGCCCCCCCCACTCGCCATACCCGCTTGCGCGCGTCGCCGAGAGCCGGACCATGCGGACGCCTCATATACACTGGAAGATTATCCGAGAAAACTGTCGCCATGCCGGCAATCAAATCCGTGATTCGCGAATTCTCGCTCCACCCCGTCAGGTGCGGCACCGAGATCCTGCCGTCCGCATCGACGCCCGGATGCAACTGCACCAAGCCCATAGCCCCCGATGGCGCCACGAAACAGCGCGGCGGAACTCCTGGGTACAACGAGCCGAACGACATGCCGACAGGTACATGGTAGACGCCGCCTTGGTAATGGATGCGCAAGACTCCGCTCAGGTAAAACTCTGCCTCCGTTCCCCCGGTGCCTCCGATCATCTTCGCCCCAGAGGCCAACGCGGGCGCCACTTCCAAGATGCGTTCCACGTCAGCGCGCAGCCTGAGCTTGTTCTCGCACGACCAAGGCAGCGCGTTGATCACCTCATCAATGTGCCCCATTGCCGAGCGCTCACATGGTCGCGCCATGGCGACGAGCGGCGCAGCGAGAACGAAACCCCACGACGTGCGAACCGCCCTGCAGGGGGAAGCAGCACATCCAGAGACGCAGCCAAAGCCATCATGGCTACGGAATCGCCATGCCACTACAGCACGAAGACGCCGACTGTGCGAATCCCCGGAAAAACATAGGCATGTAGCCCCTGACACTTACAACAGAATGGCACGCGCATCAACTAGCATTAAATGCCCTCTCGAGGTTCACTCTTCTGAGAATACATTGGAATATTGGAATACAGGCGGCCTGTAGAGCGTGGGTGGCACCCGAGAACTCGTTGTGAATATCCGACGACGCAGCGTGCCGGAGCCTCCACCCTTCCGAAACGATTGCAATGTATGGTCCCTCTGAGCGCCTCAACAATCAACAATTCAGACATATGCTCACTGCGACTGCTGAACTAGAAGCTAATGTACACATGAAGTAGGAAGCCAGACGAAGTAGGTTGGTCTCGGCCCATCCACCTAGAAAACCTGAAAATGAATGTCCGACGTCGAAGCAGAACCTCCACCCCCTCCAAAACAATTGCAATGTACAACCCCTCTCATCACCTTTACACCATCACAAGTCAGCATATGCCCACTACGAGTCCTGAGCTAGTGCACACATGATGTGGGAAGCCAGATGAAGTAGGTTGGTCTCAGCCCACACACATAAAACTTCGAATAATGAATATCCGACGTCGCAGCGGAACCGCAACCCCTCCAAATTACTTCCAACCTCACCAATCAAGCATATCCTCACTGCGAGTGCAGAACACACCCCTCTCCTTCGAGGCGCCACTAAAACGAGCGCGTGCTGGCGCGATGAAAAAAAACACCCCTCCTGAGGCAGCGGAGCGAGCAAGCTTCCCGCACCTTCCTCGTGGCCGTGGCCCTGGCCCTGCCTCCCCATAATCCTCTCTCGCCGCGCCCTCGGCGCTCCGCTCGCCCGTCTCACACCGCATGGCGCATCTGCTGCGCCAAAAGAAACCCTGCTTCCCGAACGCCTGATACCTTCCGCCTCCTGCCGCCCCATCCTTACTCATCGTGCCTTTCCCTAGTCCCTCATACCCTCTCCTACTCCTCTTACCTCTTCCTGCCTCCTGGGCTCTTGCCCTCTCGTTCATCCTCGCTTGCCGAGGCGACCGAAACACCGCACATGAGCAAAGCCATCCTCTCTCCTCCTTCCCTCCTCCTTCGAACTCTTCTCCTCCCCCCTTCCCTGTGGTTACCCTCCGTGCGGTGCAGCAGAAGCGTCGTAGCTCTGAGGGCGCAGGAGGTCCACAGAGACCCCTGCTCGGATTAGAACTCGCCGGAGCGACTCCTATGGGAGGGGATTCCACTGGGAACTCGAAGAGACTAAAAGGACTGACAGAAACTAAAAGGGACTAAAAGGAACTACAAGGGACTCAAAGGGACTGAAGAGCTTAAAGGCTGCGATCGTACAGAAGGGACGGAAAGGACTGAAAGGGACCAAAAGGGTCTCAAGGGACTAAAAGGGACTCAAAGGGACTGAAGAGCTTAAAGGCTGAAATCGTACAGAAGGGACGGAAAGGACTGAAAGGGACTAAAAGGGTCTCAAGGGACTAAAGGGACTAAAAGGGACTAAAGGGACTAAAGGGGACTAAAAGGGACTCAAAGGGACTAGAAGGGACTAAGAGAGACCAAAAGGGAGCACATGGCACGAAAGAGACTGAAAGCAGCTAAAAGGCGACAATCGTACTGAAGAGACGGAGGGGAACTGAAAGGGACTAAAAGGGACTAACAGAGACCAAAGGGACTGATAGAACCAAAGGGAACTAAAAGAGAGTAAAAACAAAAGTAAAAGAGACAAAAAGACACCGGAGGGCGTCAAAGGAGCTAAAACGCTACCATTATACTGAACGGACGGAAAGGGACTGAAAAAGACGAAAAGCGACAAAAAGGGACTAGATGGACTACAAAATACTAAAAGGGACTAAAAGGGACTAACAGGCACTACAGGACTTGAAAGGAGCTTAAAGGCTACAATCCTACTGAAGGGACGGAAAGGGACTCAAAGGTACGAAAAGAGACTAAAGGGATAACAAGAAACTCAAAGGGACTAAGAGGGACCAAAAGGGATTACATGGTACGAAAGAGACTGAAAGGAGCTAAAAGGCGACAATCGTACTGAAGAGACGGAAGGAGACTGAAAGGGACTACAAGGGACGAAGAAAGACTAAAGGGACGAAGCGAACCAAAAGGAACTAAAAGGGACTAACAAGAAAGTAAAAGGGACAAAAAGACACCGAAGGCCTCAAAGGAGCCAAAAGGCTACCATTATACTGAAGGGACGGTAAGGGATTGACAGGGACTAGAAGCGACTAAAAGGGACTGAACGAACTACAAAAGACTACAAGGAACGAAAAGGGACTACAAGGGACTAAGAGGCACTACAGGGATTGAAATGAGCTTGAAGGCTACAACCCTTCTGAAAAGACGGAAGGAAACTGAATGGCACTAAAAGGGACTAAAGGGACTAAAAGGGAGTCAATAAAACTACAAGCGAATAAGAGGAACCAAAAGGGACTACAAGGCACGAAAGAAACTGAAAGGCTACAATCATACTGAAGGAGCGGAAAGGGATTCAAAGGGACTACAAGGAACTAAAAGGGACTACAGGGACTAAAAGAGACTCAGAGGGACTATAAGAAACTGAAAGGAAGTGAACCGAAGACAACGAACTCGAAGGCTGCACAAGAGCGAAAGAGACATACGAGAGACTGGAGCAACCTAAAACTATGAAGAAGGGACTGAACCAACAAAAAAAGACTAACGGGAATCAGACCGACGGAAGACGGAAAAGGATAACAGGGCGGCGGCGGCAGCGACGACGACGACGTCCACGCTGACGGCGACGACGACGACGACGACCGCAGCAGCGCCGAAGCCGAGGATGGCAGCGGCGGCGGAGCCGGCTACGCCGACGCCGACGACGACGACGACGACGACGACGCCGCCGCCGACGACGACGACGACGAACGGCGTCGGCGACAGCGATGGCGACGACGACTTCGGCCGAAATCCGCTCGAAATAAATTCCCGGATCTCTCTCGGGGTCCCTCCCGACGCAGTTGCTTACCCCAGATCGATCTGCAGCGACCCCGAGACCCGAAAACCGCCCCCGGAGGCCGAAAACGCGGAAAATCTCCCCGATCCCTGAAGATCGAGAATCGAAGTTCGACAGATGGCCACGTCCTCGATCGCAGTTTTTCAACCCGGCTCAACTTCCAGAGGCCCCGGGAACCGAAGGCGGCCCCCTGGGGCCGAACCCGCCGAGAAACCTCCCCGAGCCCCGCAATTCGAAAATCAAAGTTTTTCAATACGGGGTCCCCGGTGGTCTCCCGAGGTCCCGAAAACTTCCCCAGGTTTTCCGTCCTGAGTCACATTCTAATGATCCTAGGGCCCGTTGAAGGCTTACGAAGGCCGACAATTGCGAAAACCGATGTACTAGACAAATCCGCCGACCCCTTGGGTCTCATCGGCGTGTCAGATGCTCCCCCTCTCCCCAAACCCCTCCCTGGGGGCCTCGTCGGGCCGATCAGGAGGGGAAGCGCCCGGCCAGCCGGCGTACACGCGCCATGAGACAACACAGAGCTCCACGACGAGCCAAAAAGGCCCCAAGAGGCTCCCGAGCCGGTCCAAGAAGCCGCGAGTCGCCGAAACATCGTTTCAAGACGCCCAGGATGGCCTCCAGACGGCCAAAGATGCTTCCAAGACGTGACCCTACGAATACGGCGGCGGTGCGCGGTTCGGGCGTACGAGTGGGGCTACGTACGGCTACTAGTACGACTGCGACGTGCACGGCCGAGCGTACGAGTACGGCTTCGTACCGGTACGAGTACGACTGGAGGGGGCGTACGAGTTCGGCGACGTGGGCGTACTAGTACGGCAGCAGAATGCAAGGACGGCCGTACTAGTACAGCTACGTACGCCTACCAATACGGCGGCGGTGTGCCAGGTCGGGCGTACGAGTACGGCTACGTACGGCTACGAGGACGACTGCGACGTGCCCGGCCGAGCGTACGAGTAGGGCCACGTACGCGTACTAGTACGACCGGAGCGGGCGTACTAGTACGGCTACGTAGCCCTACTAGTACGCCTGCGGCGTGCACGGCCGAGCGTACGAGTACGGCTACGTACGGCTACTAGTACGCCTGTGGCGTGCACGGCCGAGCGTACTAGTACGGCTACGTAGGCCTACTAGTACGCCTGCGGCGTGCACGGCCGAGCGTACGAGTACGGCTACGTACGGCTACTAGTACGCCTGCGGCATGCACGGCCGAGCGTACGAGTACGGCTACGTACGGGTACTAGTACGCCTGCGGCGTGCACGGCCGAGCGTACGAGTACGGCTACGTACGGGTACTAGTACGCCTGCGGCATGCACGGCCGAGCGTACGAGTACGGCTACGTACGGCTACTAGTACGCCTGCGGCATGCACGGCCGAGCGTACGAGTACGGCTACGTACGCCTACTAGTACGCCCCGCGGTCGTACTAGTAGGACGAAGTAGGCCTACTAGTACGACGACCGGGCAAAGCAAGCCTATTCTGTGTCAAGTAACAGGGGAAGCCTTTTCGTCTCGATAGCGATAGTGTGCCTCGCGGTGAGGCACAGTCAAATCTAGGCGGCCGGCCGCTTTGAGCCAAGACGGCCGCGGGCGCACGCTCGCTTCCGCTCCTTACCTCCCCTAGCTCGCTTTAGAGTTTCCGACCGCCCAGGACGGCCCGAGGAGTCCCCAAACTAGTCCCAGAGGCCTCCCACATGGCTCCAGAGCGGCACAAGAGGCCTTCAAGCCAGCCCCAAGAGGGCCCCAAGACGTCCTAAGAGGTATCAAAAACGGCCAAGATGGTCTCCAAGAACCGTCAAGACTGCCAAGATGACCTCCAAGACGACCAAGATGGCCTCCAAGACGGCAGAAAGATCACCAAGAGAGCCGAAGGTTGCCCAAGAGGCGCCCAAGATGCCTCCAAGACAGCCCAAGATGCCTCCAGACGTCCTCCAGGCTGACCCGAAGAAGCCAAAATCCATGATTTTGCATAGGTGTATGAAAGATGTTCGCATTTCCTTCTTTTCGGCCTTCCGACGATCCAGGACGGCCCAAGAGGACCCCACGATCGCCCAAGGATCGTCCAAGAGGCCCCAAGATGTCCCCACGACGGCCAAGACGCCCCCAAGACGGCTCCAAGAATGACCCAAGATGACCCAAGAGGCTTCCAAGACGCCAAAGATGGCCTCCAAGACGCTCCTGAAGCGCCCCAAGAGGGCCCCAAGTCGGTTCAGAAAAGGCTCCCAAGACGGCTTCAGACGGCGTCAGACGGGCCAGGAACGCCCTAAGACGGCCGCATCT